CTCGTCAGCGTGCCCTCATCCTCCAGGCCACCCCAATCCTCATCGCCAGCTACCTCGTCACCATCGTCATCATCATCGTCGTCGTCGTCGTCACTGCTTACATCCTCTCCTCGATCCTGTGCTTCCTGCTTCCATCGCCTCTCCTGCTTCTTGAGCTCCCTTGTCTTCTTGTCCCACTCGGCCGCAATACGATTCGATGTCGCTAGCACCCGATCCCTCGGCATCGGGGCCGGACTGTCCTTGAAGATTAGTCTCCTCGGCTGGTCCACAAACGCCCCAAAGTAAGCATCAAAGAGTCAAAAAGTTCAAGTAAGAAGAGGAGCACGGCGAAAGAAAGCTTACAAACTCAAAAAACCCTAGTTCCGGCCGCATTGGGGGATGCCCTAGCACCGGATACACATGGTCGAGGGCAACGCCAGCGATGTCCTTCAAAGGCTCCATCGCCTCCTTAATGCGCTGCGCCACCTCGGAGGGAAGAAGCGCTTCATCGACGAGCACCGTCCCTTCGAATGACACTCCAGGCACCATCTGGTGCAGGGGAAGCGCGCGCGCCATCAGCGGCGCCACCCTCCTCGCGTGGTAGGCGCCGATGATCCCCGACCCCTTCACGCCCCGCTCCTTCAGAGCATGGAGGGCGGCGAGAAGGTCTATGATGTGCTTTTTCTCCCTAGTCAGGACGCCCCACTGCCACGATTGCGGAGCCTCTTCAATGAGGCGCCCAGTGTACTTCGGCAGGGGAGCACTCACATCATCCCTGACGTAAAACCACTACGAATGCCACCCCTTGTTGGAGGTCGACAGACGCATCAACGGGTAGTCCCTCGACCGGTATGGTGCAAATGAATGCTGGCGCATCCCATCGGTACATTCACCTCCTTCCCCCCAACCTGCCTCTTCGATAGACTGACGGTGAAGAAGTGCCACCACAGATCGAAGTGGGGATCGATCCCCAGGAAACCCTTGCACAGGGCAACAAACGGCGCCATATGTTGAACCCCATTGGGAGTAAGATGCTGCAACTCCACCTGGTAATAATCTAGCAGCCCCTGAAGGAATCTATGCGCGGGTACTGCAAATCCCCGCTCATGGAAGATAGCGAAAGATATGACGTACCCTTCGGGCGCCTCCTCCTCACCAGGCAGCAGCCACTCCACGATGGCGGACTGAGGGCGGAGAAGGCCGCGTCGGACAAGGCCCTCCAAACGCCGAGAGGTAATGCCGGATCTGCCCCACAGCTCCATTGAAGCGTCGGAAAGAAAGGTGGGCGCGAGCTCAACAACAACTGCGATGCGGGCGCGAGCTTAACGACGGCTACGACGCGGAGGCGAACCTAACGACGGCGGCGGTGCGGGCGCAGGAGGCTAGGGCGATTAGCGGCAGAGGTTTCGGACGCGAAGGCCAGGGGGCGAAATACGGGACCCTGGGGGCGAACCCCATGGTTTTATAGGGGCGACGGATGCGAGAAGGGCAACAGTCCGCGTCGATCTCCGGGCCTGCCACGCGCACCGTCGCGTCACGTCGCGGGACACGCGCCCGCGATCCCTATCCTCTCCCACCGAAATCGCGCTGGACAGTTCGCCTTCCCAGCGACCGAGCTCTTTTCCCACAGAAGGGACGTGGGCCAGAAAAATCTCTTCTCCGATCCGTCTGGGCCCATAACGACCAAGGGTCGGCCCAACCATCTCGACGGCCGTCCCAACGAGGGATGGGCCCGCGAGAAACCAGGACTCCGGTGCACGAGCATCAGTAAGGCCTCGACTTGCAATCGGAACCCTAGCCAAGTTAACCCTAGACGTTTTCCCCACAAATGGGGTACTGGGGTTCACTTAGAACTATCCAGCTAACAAAAAACCGAATCTCACCATCTTGCCCGCGAAGGGTCCGGAACACCCCCGGGCGATTCTACTCTGCCCGAATCACCCGGGGGCTCGAGGGCTACTGTCGGGAACCTAATACCGGGGTACCCAACGAGGTGGAACTAGCAAACACTGGACGTCGGCACTCCTGGTCAAACAAGGACACTACTGCGCCTCTTGTCCGGACGGCGGAAGATCGGTTCCACCTCGCTCGACCCTCGAGGACTAGGTTTCGCCTCGCCCGACCCTCGAAGGGCTAGGCTCCGTCTCGCCCGACCCCTAGGGGCGGGCTCCACCTCGCCCGACGACTGAGGGCTAGCTCCGCTTCGGCCAAACGCCCGAGGGCGGGCTCCACCTCGCCTGACGGCTGCAGTCTGGCTCCGCCTCAGCCAAACGCCCGAGGGCGGGCTCCGCCTCGCCCGACGAGGTACGTCACGACCCTCCATAATAATGAGCACAGGGTACGACATGACATACGGGTCAAACGCATTACCAAGGACCATGCCCTGTGCCGCTGTGGATGGCGCTGTCAGGGCACGATGGGACGGGCGCAGTCAGGGCATGATGGTATGGGTGCTATAGGCCCTTCCAGGCGCGACAGAGCCTGAACAGTGTTGCAACGTGTGCTCTTCGCCCTACAGTATTGTAGGCGCCGCCTTCAGCCCTCGGGTGCGGAACTCGACACAGACACACGACAACCGCTACGCTCGAAAGGGGAACTCCTGCCCTCTATAGTGGGGAACGGGTGGTCACCACGCGGGCCGCTTCCCACAAGGTCGTAGATCGACACCCCTGACCGACACGCCGCCCGCAGAGGCGGGACGGGACGTGACCACTTGCAGAGCATGACATCATCAACGCACGCATGCCCGGCGAACGTGCCCCCTCTGACATCGTTCGACTGTGTCAGGGGGGCTGGCCCAGAAGAAGAAGAAGAGGATCCGGCGCCTTCGGAGGGGCTTCTCGGTCTCTAGTTTTTTCTCCTTCCTCCGACATGTAAGCCCCGCTCCCCTTGGTCTATAAAAGGAGGGGCAGGGCACCCCACTAAAGGGGAGATCAACTGGCAGAAAGCTTGATTGACACAATTCATCAGCATACCCACATACGCACGGCCAAGCAGACACCAAGCTCTTGGTGTCCTTTCGACCCTTTCCATCAGAGACCTAGGACCAGTCCCTCTCTCGACCGTTTGTACCCCCTACTACGAACCATATTCGGTGCTAATAACACGAGCAGTTGCAGACTGGGCATAGGGACATTCGGCCCGAACCAGTATAAACCTTGTGTCCTTTAGCGCACCATCCGGGCCTAACGCGCATCAATTATAAATTTACTCGCCGGTGTTTGTTCGAAACACCGACACTCTGCATCATGAAGGACAATGAAGTTGTGGACAACACAGGTTTGTAAAATATATGCTGCTCACTCTATTTCAAATTATAAGTCGTTTTGATTTTTCTAGGCGTATAGATTTTGATATGCATCTAAATATGCTTTCCCAGGAAACTATGCACCTAAATATGCAATATGTTTAGTTACGTAGTAAAACCTATAAATATATAAAAGACACATATAATGTGGACTTCCCTGTGTGGGCTGATGAACTCAACAAAGGGTACGCGAACAACCACAGGCTTGTAAACAGTAGTGAACAGTGTATAAAATAATAACAGACTTAGTGGTGAACAGTGCTGTGTACTGAACAGTCGCGGGAGGTCCCCCATTTTTTTTGCACATGAGAGGTTACCTTATTGACTTTGATTTTATTTTTTAATGAGATATTGACAGTGTCTATTTCTATTCATAAAGAAGAAAGCAACTAGCAGGTGGCACTAAGTACAGAAAAGAAAGACATGAAAAAAAAACACAACACAAAAAGAAGAGGAACATGTAGCCAAACAGGCAACAAAACAATACACGCTGCGCTCTACACGCCGCGCTCTACACGCCGCCTGCTCCTCACACGTGGGCACAGAAAAACTCCACAAATCCACACCACATGGTGGACCAAATTATAGAGAACCATGTAGAAATCTTTGACATCTCACAGACGGCCTTCACAAAACATCGGCGAACAAGGCCAATTGCCGCTTCCAAACTATACAGCAGGGATGCACCAATCTTCTCATTGCTAATAACTCTGCCAACATATATATCCATTACTCCAAAACGACTCCGCCTCAGTGTAACCGCAACGCCACTACACAAATCATCTCTGAAACGAAAAAGGAGGTAGGTAAACCTTGAAAAATGAGAACGGAGGTAAATTTCTCGGGAGGGTTTCCGGGGCCGTTCGGCTGGTTTGAATACCAGCCAAAATTCACTGTACTGAGCTGAAAAATATTATTTATCCTCCCATAGATTATTCTAGATTTATTCATATTCCTTTAAATTCCTCCTAGCAAGTATGGCGGTGACGGTTCACACACATCTTGACAAGCCGTTGCTCAATTCTTTGTTCTGCTGCTTGTAGCAAAAAATTATATTGTGTCCCCACCGTCGTCAGTGTTTGATGCTTGCAGATATCGTGACAGGATTCCCTGCCTCTCTCAAAGTCACATCTGGTCGCGGCACACAGTGACGAGATAATATAGCAGTATGTCTATCAATAACCATGTGTTTTATATAGTTTTAACATATAAATTTTTTTTATTATAGAATTAAAATCAACCGTCTCCATATTTTTTGTACCTCTAGTCTTCTTTTACCTTCTGACAATTAAAAATCACAAGATCACATATTTACAGATTATAAAAAATAATTTTTTTCTATAAAAAGATAAAAGGACATCGATATAACACATGTGTCACGCGCCGCATTTGCTCGCCGCGTACGTACGGCCCCCGGCGCTCTGCCGCCGCCGCCAGGCCCGGTCGAGGGTGACCGATCACACACGCCTCTCGCTGGATTTTCACCCGCCTGCCGACACGGTTCAGTGGGACAGGACGTGACCAGAGAGGGAAAAAAATCTATATATTTTTTTATGTTAAAATACACGTGTGTTGTATAGTATTCATGTAATATACAGGAAATATATAGGCTTCTATAAATAGAAGTAGCAGCTCTTATTCATCACCCTCATCTACACACAAGCTAGGTGTACCAGCGACGTGCCGTTTACACTTGCACAAGGCGCAGATCGACATGGGCTCCGACGTTGCTGCCGACGCCGGCAAGCCGCACGCCGTACTGGTGCCGTTCCCGGCGCAGGGCCACGTCACGCCGATGCTGAAGCTGGGCAAGATCCTCCACTGCTGGGGCTTCCACGTCACCTTCGTCAACAGCGAGTACAACCACCGCCGCCTGCTCCGGTCCCGCGGCGCGGGCGCGCTCGACGGCCTCCCGGGCTTCCGTTTCGCCACCATCCCGGATGGCCTGCCGCCGTCCGACGCGGACGCCACCCAAGACGTGCCCTCCCTCTGCCGCTCCACGGAGAAGACCTGTCTCCCGCATTTCAGGGTCCTGCTCCAAGGTCTCAACGCCTCCCCCGACGTGCCTCCGGTCACCTGCGTCGTCGGCGACGACATCATGAACTTCACCTTGGAAGCCGCCAGGGAGATCGGCGTACCGTGCGCTCTGTTCTGGACTGCCAGCGCCTGCGGGTACATGGGCTACCGCTACTACCGCACCCTCATCGACAAGGGCATCTTCCCCTTGAAAGGTGGTTGAAATCTCTCTCGCACGCGACTCAGTGTACGGCAAGTGCTCACGTGTTTGTTTTATTGGGCGTGCAGAGGAGCAGCTGACGAACGGGTTCTTGGACACGCCGGTGGAGTGCGCGCCGCCCGGGATGAGCAAGCACATGCGGCTCAAGGACTTCCCAAGCTTCATCCGCTCCACGGACCCCGACGAGTTCATGGTCCACTACGCCATTAGGGTGACGGGTCAGATAGCTGGCGCGGACGCCGTCCTCCTCAACACCTTCGACGAGCTCGAGCAGGTGGCACTCGACGCCATGCGCGCCGTGATCCCACCTGCCGCGTCCATCAACACCATCAACCCGCTCGCCCTCCTCGCCGAGCAGATCGTGCCCAAGGGCGGCCAGCTCGACTCGCTGGGCTCCAACCTTTGGAAGGAGGACGTCTGCTGCTTCCGCTGGCTTGACGGCAGGAAGCCCAGGTCCGTGGTGTTCGTGAACTACGGCAGCGTCACGGTGATGACCAGCGCGGAGCTGGTGGAGTTCGCGTGGGGTCTGGCCAACAGCGGCCACGACTTCCTGTGGATCATCCGGCCGGACCTCGTCAGCGGCGACGCCGCCGTGCTGCCTCCGGAGTTCCTGGAGGCGGTCAAAGGGCGCGGCCTGCTGGCAAGCTGGTGCCCACAGGACGCGGTGCTGCGTCACGAGGCGGTGGGCGTGTTCCTGACGCACTCTGGATGGAACTCGACGCTGGAGAGCCTCTGCGCCGGGGTGCCGATGCTGTGCTGGCCTTTCTTCGCGGAGCAGCAGACCAACTGCCGGTACAAGTGCACGGAGTGGGGCGTGGGCGTGGAGATCGGCCACGACGTGCGGCGGGAGGCCGTGGAGGAGAAGATACGGGAGGCCATGGGCGGGGAGAAAGGAAAGGAGATGCGTCGCCGCGCGGTGGAGTGGCGGGAGACCGCCGTGCGCGCGACGCAGCCCGGCGGGCGCTCGTACGCCAACCTGGAGAAGCTGGTGACCGACGTACTCCTCTCGGGTGGCAATGGCAAGAGTTCTTAATCCTCTTTGCTATTACTATTACCACTGCTCCATGTGCGTGCATATCCATGCCACGACGGCACGACCGTACCATTTGTTTTGGGATAAAGCTCAACTATAAGTAGTCTGTTCAGCAGTATTCGGCTTATAAACCTCGGCTTATCGGACAACGAATAGTATTTTTTTCTCACACCAAACTAGCTAGCAGTACTTTTAACTATGGCTTATAAACCAATCCAGTCAAAACGAATAAGCTGAACATGCATCGTGAGGTTCCGAACCATCAAATGCACTTATGTGTGCGTACTCAAATAATGGTTGTACGTGTAGTTGTACTCTCTAGTACGTATGTGATATGTATATGCGCCCTCTTGTTGGCATTATGATTGTACTATTTGGGACCGGTGTCAGAATGGGCATACGGCATGTTTGCTCGTTGAAAATGATCATAAATTTTTAGCTAGAATAATATTTTTTTCTCACACGAAAATAGCCGGTAATAAACCGCCGAACAGACCGACAATAACTACAATAACTGTGTATGGAACAACCGAACAAGGTGTGGGTGAACAGGACCTAGGCCAAACGGCCTACTTTTTTATAATTTGGTATTTTTTTAAAGAAAATTTATATTTGGACCTTAAGAGATTTAAACTTATCTTTGGATTCTGAAGATCAGCGTCAGGATTAATAACACCGAGGTAACACGTCTCGGCGCTACAGATCTTAACACTGAGGTGCCTGACCGAGATCCTATATGACATTGACGCGGTTGGTACCTCGACACCATAATACATGACTGACTGGGTCGGCGCCACGTATGTTGGTGTGGACCGTCGGCGCTGGCGCCAACCTCGGATAGTAGCAGTGCCTTCTTCTGTGGGCGTTAGCCGCACATGTGAGTGCCAGGGAGCTTTGCAGTTTGCACAGCTTTAGAACTTGCTCGGCTTTGAAGCCTTCGTCGTTTTGATCAGCCTGATCAGCATGTTCATTTGTTGGTTTTAGTCAGTTTAAATTAGTCAGCCAATAATGTTTTTCTCTCATAAAAATGGTACATGTATGGAGTACTAAATGTAGACGAAATCAAAAACTAATTGCACAGGCTTTAACTGCGAAACCAAATCAACCTAATTAGTCAATGTTTGAACAATAATTCCCGATGCCAACTTGCCGAGGCACAGGCACCCTCGTTTCTTGTCCAAGGTCATCCCCGTCTCGCAAGCTTGAGAAGCTCCACTGCTGCCTGATGGTCCGCTCTTTCTCCTCTTTCTCTGTATGCATTCATACGTTTTATTTTCCTTTTTCCGGAAGGGGTACCCATTCCTATTCCTCATGTTTCAAAATATTTGTCGTTTTCGCTTCTCAAAAGATAACTTTAACAAAATATATGTTAAAAATATTAATATTTATGATACATAATGGTATCATTAGAAAGATCTTCGGTCTCGTTTGGCTTGCTGAATCTTGACTGAAATTGGCTAAAAAATATTGTTCTGGCTGAAATGTTGTGAGAGAGAAATACTGTTCTGATTAAAAAAAAGCCGAACAAACTGGATATGGGTAAGCCGAACGGGCCCTTTAAATCTAGTTTTTTAATAAATTTATTTGAAGATACAAATATTGCACGTATTTTCTACTAATCGGCTGCATTAAAATCAAAAGCGACGGATACTTTTGGACGTAGGGAGTACGTTCAAGTGCCCAACGCACCAGCATGTTTGTTTGGCTATGGCTTGTCGTAAATAATCGTAAATTTTTAGTTAAAATAATATTTTTCTCTCGCATAAACCAGTCAACAGTACGTAACAGGCTGGCAGTTACTGCTACCAGGCTAGGGCGGCGTGCGGCTGCTGCATGCGCACCCCTACCTCGGGACGCGTGGCTGGGTTTGCGGGGTAAGCTGTCCTCGCACTGTGAGTGTGTGACTGGCTGGCTGGCTGGGTTCGCGGTACAGAGCAACAGGTTCACGGTACAGAGCACAGTGTTCAATGTAAAGCTCGAGTTAACGTGACACTGTGATGAGCGGCATACGTGGTCTACAGATGAAGTGTATTAGTAGCATTTATTTAAGTATGAGATGTGGTTCATCTGTCACTACCATTGGAACTATTTGGCCCATGCCACCGGTTCAAAAACATGCCGTGATAACTGTAAGTTAACACGGCGGATCCATCGCTCCAGTTTCTTTGGCTGACTTCATCTAACTCCTTACTACAATATGCCTTTTTGGCATGGATTCATCCAGCCCCTTACCACACCACACGGAGGAATCCAAGCCGGTGAAGGGAAAAAAAAAAGTCAATTTTATTGGTTCTTATTAGTTTATTTTAAGGAAAAAAAAGATAAAAACAGTTTCTTGCTAATGAAGATATAGTTGGCAAACATATGACCTACGAAGATTTTGATGTTACTCCATCCATCCCAAAAAAACCTTGTGAGAACCAAACATTTTCAACTTTGACCAAATATATACAAAATAATATTACTACTTATAATGTATAATTAGTATCATTAAAGTAATAATCATCGAATAGTAACAAAAACCTTTTGAGAACCCAACTTTTGTTTCCCTTCGTTCCATGCTACTACCTCCGTTTTCGTTTACTTGTCACCGGAATTTTACTGTAGCAATTTTGATCATACGCTTTTTTTCTGCAAAAGATTTTTAGATACATCAAGTTTTCACATATATGATTCTTTATTAAACATATTTCATTAGTGTTATATACATTGAAGTATCTAAGATTTTTTTAGAAGAAAAAATAGATGGTCAAATTTGCTACAGTAAAAAGTTGCTGACAAATAAAATCAAACGGAGGAAGTATGATAAAACTTCTGTTCATCATCGATCACTAGCAGCAGACTACCGTACGTGCAGGTTCACGGTGCAGAGGAAACCTGCCAGCCAGTCACGGACTCACGGTGCGAGGACAGCTTACCTCGTAAACCCAGCCACGCGTCCCGAGGTAGAGGGGCGCATGCAGCAGCCGCAGGCCGCCCTAGCCTGGTAGCCGTAAGTGCGTCTGGCACTTGAACGTACTCCTCCGTCCAAAATTACCTATCGCTTTTGATTTTCGTGCAGCAAGTTTGATTTGATTGATATAAAATATGTGTAATATTTATATTTCTAAATAAATTTATTAAAAAACTAGATTTACAGATCTTTCTAATGATACCATTATGTAAATATTAATATTTTTTAATATATATTTTGTTAAAGTTATTTTTAGAAGCGAAAACGACTGGAAAACGACTGGGAGTAGGAATGGATACCCCTTCCGGAAAAAGAAAAATAAAACGTACGAATGCATACAGAGAAAGAGGAGAAAGGGCAGGCCATCAGGCAGCAGCGGAGCTTCTCAAGCTTGCGAGACGGGGATGACCTTGGACAAGAAACGAGGGTGCCTGTGCCTCGGCAAGTTGGCATCAAAACGACAAAGGCTTCAAAGCTGAGCAAGGGGTGTTTAGTTGGGCAAAGTTTATGCAGGTAAATTTTACATAGTGAAGATTCTCTACTGTAGTATTTCGTTTGTATCTGTGAATTATTGTCCAAACATTGACTAATTAGGCTCAAAAGATTCGTCTCGCAAAGTTAAAGCAAACTGTGCAATTAGTTTTTGATTTCGTCTACATTTAGTACTCCATACATGTACCACAAATTTAATGTGATAAAAAATTTTCTTTTTGCATAGTACATTTTTCAGGAGTTTGAAGGAACTATACAAGAGCAAGTTCTAAAGATGTGCAAACTGCAAAGCTCCCTGACACGCACATGTGCGGCTGGCGCCCACAGAAGAAGGGCACTGCTACACGCTAGCTTTTGAATTATCGAGTGTGTGGCGCCGACCTCGGCGTCATGTATTATGGCGTCGAGGTACCAGCCACGTCAATGTCACGTAAGATCTCGGCTACGCACCTCGGCGCTAAGATCTACGGCGCCGAGACGTGTTACCTCGGCGCTATGAGTCCTGGTGCCGACTTCCAAGGTCCAAAGATGAGTTTAAGTCTCTTAGAAGGCAAAATGTAAATTTTCTTTAAAAAAAAGCCAAATTATAAAAAAATTAGGGCCAAACGGACCTTATTCGCTCCAGTTTAAAACCATAGGCACGAAATAAACGAGTTGATTCTTGTATGTGAAACCTATCACTGTTCATTGTATTCTAGGCGATCTATTTGTTGTATGATGGTTTTATATTACGTTCTAGTGTATTTTATACGTCTACCTTGCTATCTTTTTTTCGGAAACCGTCAAACTTTATGTATTTTGACTAAAGTCATACTACATGCAGTGTATTAAATTAACTATGCAATATCATATGTCAAAGTCATAATATATACCTTTTCAAAATCTTATGTATGGTTTTATCATGTGACGGAGATCCAAACTCATTGTAATTGTGTATAATCTTGATGGCAGTGTGATGCATTAATAATATCAAATGTAAAATATTTGACAAAAACCTCTATTTAATTTAATAATAAAATATATCAACAAAAATAAGAAATAGGTGACTGCTAGGTTGAAGCAACTAATCCCGCAATGAGGATCGTACTATCACTTCTGGATAGAGGATTAACCTGGCAGTGAGCATCATCCTATCGTTGCGAGTCTTGGAACCGACAGTGATAAGGAAGTCCTTCGTCAGTGGCGGATCCAAAGGGGGGGCTGGGGGGGCTCCAGCCCCCCCTAATGTCTTGATTTCAAGCCTAATCACTGTAGCAAAAGCTTGATTTCACCATTAAATCTTCATGCAAATCAACATCTCCATTGTTTTAGCCCCCCCTTATCCCGCATCGTGCATCCGCCACTGTCCTTCGTTGCCAATTACTCTCCGTCGGGTCCAATTCCAACAGCGATGCCGGGTTTAAACCTGACCAGTGATCCATGGACATGGACTAGTGAGACTAGTATAAATTCATTTTAACGTGAACATGTAAATGTGTGTTAGTAGGTGATAGCTGATTCATACGTACATGATGATAGTAAGGTTTGGTTTTATTATATTATAAGAGTATATAGATATATAGACCAAACCAAAGCATACACAATGATGGTAGGTCAGACCCACGTTGAAGTCCACTTCTCTTTTATTTTTGAGTGGGTAGATGTCCACCTCTCTGTGCTATGGAAATCAAATCAACGTGTTCGTGCCATGGTTATATCCATCGAGAAAAGCTATTGAATTGCTACAGTCTTTTCTCTCTTTTCCTAAACCACTAGCTGATCTTCTTGATTTTATTTGCATCCACAATGTGGATTAACTATTAAATCATCTATTGAAGATACATTAATCACTAGGGAAACCCTTCTGGCTTCTTAAAAAAGATTGTGCTTAGTGGAAGGATGGTTAAAATGATGTACCACCGGTCATGGCTGACATACTGTGTTAATATGGCTGCAAAGCTATATTTGCTGTTCCATTGACGCCCTGTTCGTTTCTCTTATAATCTGTCTTTTTCAGTCGGAACAGTATTTTTCTCTCACAACAAATCAGCCGAAAAGTGTATTTTGGCTTTTATTTTTTACGAAGCGAATGGGCCCCAGTGCTTCAAACTTACAGAACTTCCATGCAAAGACCAGGCCAGTGGTACTGTGCGTTTTTACAGCAAAGTAACGTGAAGTCAGTACGGCATTGGTGTGGGGTGATGCGTTGGAAAAGGAGCAGGAGTAGAATCTATCTGTCACTGTGGCCCAGCGTTAATCAGATGCTGACTCGCGTGGCCACATGTGAGTCCGACAGGCGCACGCGAGGCCGACTTTGTTTCCTTCTCACAGAATGCTAATATAATATATCTAACTGTTGGTTGTATGTTATTATCATATCATATGTATTGCATAGTTAGACTGTCCACAGCAGTGTGCGGTGCTGAAAACAGATCTGTCCATTGGGTACCGATGCCAAAACTTATATCTACCCATAATGTCAGCACCGGTGCTTCATTTGTTCGGACCACCAATAGCCATGCTATGGGGGCCAACAGCCAACACCAGTTGCATAGCAGATGGGTGAAGAATACACTTGTTTATTCTTCCAGCACTGGTGAACCTACATGCCACGGTGCTTGATTTTTTCAACTTAGTGTCGCACTCTACACTGGCATGAGCCGGTGCCTCATCCTTCTCTCTCCTAATTCAGCACCGGTGAAACCCAACGCTGTGGGCAGTCTTATGGGTCTGTTAGGATACATAGGACTAATTATTGTAAGCTAACTAATTTTTAGCCCTAGCTCATCCGAACATGGAGCTAATATAATAGATGATCTAATTTATTAGTCAAGCCTACAACTAGTTGTCAGCCAACTAGCTAAGCTAATCTGAGTAAATTTTTAGCCCTAGGTTATCTCGACACGCCTATATATGATTTATAGAGCTTGTGCCAATTTGCTAGCTAATGGACTTGTACTTCTGATAAGAGAAACTAGTTCTTCAACATGGCAAACAAATTTTACAGAGATTGTCTCGTCTGCAGCAAGAGAAACAAACAAATTAATGCCGTCTATACATTCACTTTTTTAGGTCATGTTTGGATCCATGAGCTGCTAATAATTAGCTAGCTAATAGCTCATAACTAATATTAGTTGCTATTAGCTAGTTTGATCTAATTAGCGAGATAGTTGTTAGGTTGGATATTAGCTAACAATTAGGTAGAGTATTAGTTAGAACCGTTTGAACCCAAATAAGCCAAATACTTGCAACTAGTAGTAGCTATTAGCTCTATGGATCCAAACAGGATTTTAAATCAACATGCAATTAGATCCAAACAGGATTTTAAATCAACATGCGATTAAATAATATTATATCATAAAACAGAAAAAAGGAATCGTTAATTTTTGTCGTCGTCATTTGCCTTGGCTTGATAAGATAAGACCACACGTAGACCACAGACAGATCAATCACGTCAAATTTTGCACGAGCGTTCATTCTAGCAATTTCATGTCTTTTTCAATAAATGTTTCAAAATGTTAGTGAGCTCTATTTTATAATTTGTCTATTTCTATATTTAGAATACCGCGTCTCACAGAGGCCGTATATACCACACATAGGCACACGCTGTCACCAGCCACTAGGAGAGGGATAATTGTCCTATTCGCTTGGCTGATAAGTTATGGCTAAAAGTACTGTTAGCTGATTTATTGTGAGAAAAAAATATTATTCGTCGACTGAAAAAATACGGCTTATAAACCAGCAAATAGACGAATAACGCTACTATAGATACAAGTTGCACAAGCGAGAGCAACGTTGAGCGCTCCGCCGTCTCCATCGCATCTGGGGAAAAAATTAAAATAAATGATACAGTATATATACTGCTACAGCGCGAGATCGGTGCAGCAGCTTTTTAGTCACGGCCAGACCCACGCAGACGCAGGCAATTGCGCTAGCTAAATGCCGAGCGAAAATATGTGGAACTTGTTACTTGTGGATTGGCCTCTACCAAGTCTGCGTCGAGCAATGGGCGAGTCCAGGCGGCCATGCCTCGAGGCCCTCATTTTGTGGTCATGTGGACGATACGTAAGATCAACCATGATCGCCAGGACAGCTGCCCACTACTATTATAGTATTATTATTAAATGCAAAAACAGACATGACTAGTGCCGGGCGCCCACCAGCTTGTCCTTGCACCATGAATCAAAGGCCATGTTTAGTTTCCAAAAATTTTGGATTTTGGCTCACTGTAACATTTCGTTTGTATTTGGTAATTAGTGTCTAATTATGGACTAATTAGGTTCAAAAGACGAAATCTAATTACACATTTCTCGATCAACTGTGTAATTAGTTTTTTTTTCATAGTACGATTGGATCGATTATTACCAAATAAAACAAAATAGATTATATGTACAGTATTCTTTTCGGCGGCGCCGAATCGGTTGATGAAACTGAACGGGTCAATACCAACCACGGTTGCCAGGTTCTTGCATAATCTGCGCCCCCATGCAGTTGCAGATCAGATGCAATCTGCAGCTCCGTTTAATGATTCAGGAAAACCAGACCCACGTCAGGCCCGAATGCATCGGCGCATAACCATCCACCAGTAAATTGATGCAAGGCCCACGACAAATGCCCTCCCCCAAAGTCTGACACCACCAAACAGTTTATGCATCTTGGTCTGAAGTAAGGATGGCAACGGGGATATACCCGTCGGGTATCGCCAGAACGTTTTCTTCCCCGCTATGAAGAATTCATCCTGTCCCCGTCCCCGTTAACTGTCTCGGGTATAGATTATTGCTCATCCCCATACCCGTCGGGCATTGGTCGGGTAACAGATACTCGACGGGTACTGCATACCCGATAAACAAGGACACTTGGGGTCGCAGCTTTGCAATCGGAGACGTTTCTTCTTCACCCGGGTATAAGTGTCGAAGTCTCGGAGATGCCGAGAAGAAGGAGCGAGGTTGCGAGGAGGACAAGCAAAGGTGGCAGAGAGACCGAACTGAGGAAGCGAGGGGCACGAGCGCTCGAGGTAGGCGTGCTTGTGCTGTTGGCGGAGATGGTGAGAAAAAATTGAACTAGGGTTCCTAGAACACACAAACTATATATATGATTGTTCAGATTTGGGCCAAAATACCTATGTTAAGCTTCGTTGGGCCTAATACTCGCATGACAGCTCAAATAGTCGGGTTCCCCAACGGGTAACGGGGACGGGTAAACATGGAACGTTCCCGTACCCGCTATACCCATCGGGTATGAATTCTTGACCATTTAGATGATCGTGGATAAAGATATGATCCCATCCCATCCCCTAATTGATCAAATACCCGTCGGGTATCGGGTATCGGGCCATTGCCATCTTTAGTCTGAAGACAGAAGACGGCATTAAAGACAAAGGACCACGCTATGTCGCTATTGTGTATATTATCACGTCAATTGTGTGCAGCGACCATACAGTACGTGACTTCAGAGCCAGGGAATCGTGTCACGATATCTGCATGCATCAATCACTGGCGACGGTGGACACATAATATAATTTTTTGCTACAAGCAGAAAAACAAAGAATTGAGCAACGGCTTGTCAAGATCTTTGGCGGACGAGGACATAGCTCGGTTGGTAGCTTCCCAGTGGTCCAGGTTGGGAGTTCAACTCCCCACCTCCTCCGCATGAACAGTTTGTGCGTTGTAAAAAAAAAATCCCTTCGCATGTCTCGTGCTAAAGCACAGGTCTAAGGTCTGACCTACTTTTATGTGGGATCGTGCCGCTGTGTATGGGTGATACAAGGATTCGAAGGTTTTTCTTGACATACGTGAAAAGGTCTTCTTCTTAAGCACAATACCGGGGGCTGTTTTACACCCACGGGTGGAGGTTTTTTTTTTTTGTCAAGATCTTTGTGAACCAACAACTCACATTAACTACAACTGCCATGCCCCAAATTTACCTCCTTTCTCATTTCAAGGATGCCTTGCCTCCTTTTTCATTTCAAAGATGATTTGTGGAGCTTGTGCCACTAAGAAAACAGAAACATTTGATTTGATTGTACCTAAGTATGAATGACCGCGGCATTGCTCCGTACCAAACCAATATACTTCAGATGCAAGGACACTCGTTGATAGAAATTTCACTTGGAAATGGGTACATTTATGAGCATCTAAGGGGCCCGAGGTAGGCCAAGGACTACTATAGCCTCAAGGAGTTAACCACTGAGCAGACCCTAGCACCTTACATCAACGGTTGCAGGTCATTTCTGCATTTGACCTGGCAAGAATGGAAACGTGCGTACGGGTAAGACACTTACTAGCAGTGTACTGAGCTTCAATTCTGAAGATGCTTGGAACATGAAATTGGCCTATCAGATTATCACAGCACAAGAATCGTGTTTGCTCGATCTTTCACGTCGGAAAGACTCTTCATTGCTTATCACACGAGGGATATTCCATGTTCCATATGCATGGCCTGATATTTTTCCGCCTGCAATAGGATGGTAAACATGACAGCGTTCCAAAAATAAAAACAGATCAGATGAAGAAACGAACCTAAAATATCTTTCCTACCTTCCTTTGTAGCTTCCTCACATCTTCTCCAGTAACTGCCTGAGAGACTAGGCTCCAATTTCTTTGAGAAGCTCTCATATTTCTCTTCAGCCTCGCCTATGCACTTGGCCTACAACAGCCATGGCAAGTATTACCATTATATATAAACAGTACTGTTCAACATATGACTAATCAGTATATCCAGTAAACCTATCACAAGACTGTACAGAGAAATATGCCTTAGGGGCATTTGCTCCCATGCAGTGCACCCATCCCCATGCACAAGGGCCATGGGGATGGGAGCACCCCTAAGGGCAAAAAAAATGTGTCCGCTACCAATAATAGATAGACCTATCACCTATCTCTGTAAGACAAAGATACATCTTTTTTTCCGAATAAACAAAAATGAATCTAGTAGAACCTATTCCTATCTTTAAGTACTTATTTTCTCACTGGATTTGTAAACCTCCTCAATTTTCCCATGAGCCCAGTCAGCTATTCATGCCCATACTGATAGCTTTGGCTCAGTGAACAATAATCATATAAACTTAAAATCTACAAGTTACCGGGGAACAAACAGGACACATGGCTGATACTCAATGAATACACAAGAATATCCTAAGAAGAAATACCCATGTAGACAGTTGGCTACAGCTGTGTCCAACAAATGGGAAATGCAGTGGCAATGAGGAATATATTTTTCTAATGTACAATGGTTATCAGCTGCTGGTTCTCAGTTGACATCCATTGAATTTGAAAGACTATCTTAAATTTTGAACAAGATTATTGATACATAAACAAAATATCAAAACGGCACACAATGTGCTTATGCCTACGTAACTCACAATTTTGCAAGCAGGAAATAAATTGAATATCTGATAGCACTTGAAATAAAGGAATGAAAGAGTGACATTATCAGGAGAGATATGTGCCATTTAGTTAAACATATAGACTGTCTGTTACCCACCAGCATATTCGGTGCCTCTAATGGTCCATATATTGCAGCAAACATGCGAAGGATATTGAAAGTATTGTTCATAACATCATCCTACATAACAAATTGAACTTCATCAACAGTTGGACCTACACTAGTACGGCTAAGATTAGAATGAGAACATCAGTATTCAGTAGTCCAACTTACCTCATAATCGTACCTGCAAGATTTCAAAAACAAGTTACGGGTGAAACAGCTATTTCAATTGATGACATGGCTTGTAAAACAAAACAAAAAGTCTGAAAGTTATTCATAGTTTCTGTTCAGCGCATGGTGCATCTAGGCCTATATTGGCCCCTGAGGACTCTATATACATTTTTTGTCTAGAACAATGCAGGAGAGCTGCATGTCATTTCATTAATTAAGAAGGAAAAAAAGGTACAGGACTGTATATACATTCATATAACAAGGCTACTAATCTGATGATTTTCCCACAGATCATACTAAGGTACACTAACAGTACATAAGTTGTTGGGTTTCTATTTCCGCAGATCCTTCATAGTTAGGTTACATGATAACTAAAGCACAATGTCATTCGAAATAAAATTATTGTTTCAATTTACATACAACACCGACATCTCATATTTACAAAAGTTCCAACAGAAGCGCTAGTTCCATCTGAAACCCGTGCACTACCTTGCCTCAGATTTTACAAATTTGCCAATCATCCATGACATATTTTTTTTAAAAGTAGGCAGTTCCCACCATTTCGATATACTGTTATGCATGTGAGAGTAAGATTCAGAGCATACTCACAGGTCATCAGATATCTCAACCAAAAATTCTGAAACTGACAAGAAGTCCATATGCAATTCATTGACCTAATAAATAAACAAGAAAGAAAATGATGCCATGTTTTAAAAACAGATGTCAGAATCGAATTTAGTAGGTTATTAACAAAGAGGCATGCATACATGCTGACCAGTAAGTTGAAACATCAACAGGTTAAGAACTCGATAGTCAAATGATTTGAGATGGATTGCCTTCATAACATCTTCAATCGAGATCTACAGGGAAAAAAAACACTAAGCATTATATTTGAGGTTACCAAGAGGAAATATTGCTTACATTCAGTTTCAATAGATTTGAAATATAAAATTCAGTAAGTTAACTATTAATGGATTCACTTTTAGTTCAAGTACAAATATAGTTTGTTACTTGGCATCCATTGCTTCCTATTTGAAGTATCAAGAGCGTACAGCTTTTCAAAAGAAAAATGATGATCAACAGGTCTGATCAAATTCAACAGATGGTCTACTGAAACATCGCTATTATCATGAAACTTATTTGTTTTTAAACTACAGCAAAAGAAAAGTCTCTGCATACCTTCTCATTTCTTAGTAATGCTTGGCAGAGCTTCCTCTCTAGAGACCAATACTGAATGCCTGATTTGAGTTCAGTTCGCAGTCTATAAACAATAGAAAATAAAGTGAGTAACTTAGCTCAAATATTAGTGAATCTATTGCATAACAAGTACATAGAGGAGAAGCTTCCAACCGATCTGTCATTAATCCTTGACACTGAAGAAGGCCTTCAAGGGGTTCAATCATTTGAGACAAGGATGTTTCATTGAGAGCTTCTTCTTTCTTTCCCAACACCTGTATGGTAGATAAGGTCACTAATGTATACACTATAATACAAGGCCTATGTAGATCAGATTTAGCAAAACTTGCATTCTATATCTCTATATCTTATTTCACTATAATCCAGGTCTTACTTTTGAAGTGTTGTCGTCTGGGACTAGATGTAAACAGTCTTCATTTGAAGCATCTAACTGCAACAAGAAATGTTTAGTTTGTTCAGTGAAGAACGTAAACTATAAGAAGAAAGTTTGAAGCACGTTTCAAGAGAAAAACCTGATATATGTAGCTCTCTGTGAAAGAAAGAACAGGTAGATACTTGAAAATGGCTTGTGGCTTGTTAACATCCAAACCATGAAACATAAAGTACGATCTACACTGTTTTCTCAGGAAGGAAAAAAATGACTTTAGGGAAATATAATTGTCTGGAAGTGCCCAAGATAGACTCATGGCGCAAAAAAAATAAATGTTTGAACAAGGAAAATCGAAATTTAGAACAACATGTGACCCAGTTTCTCTATAAGACTAATAAAGAAACAGCAAAATACATTCCAAGTTAACTTGATAGTTTGACATGGACTTAATGCCTCTAAGTGGGTTCGATTGTTTTGTAGCACATCCATTGCAGAATCTCAAACAAAAGGCAGTATGACAGTGGTTTTTTTAGCGAAAACAGTAAGGGAATCCCCTAATGTGGTAAATTTTTTATTGATGTAAGAAAAGCAAAAGCAAACTGGTTTCTCTTGAGAAAATAAAAGAAGAAGAACTAAAGCAGGGCCCAGAAGACCTGGGTCACTCCAGGATTAAGTCATGAAAGTGTTTCCATTAAGGATTTTACGGGTACCAACTACAAAGAATACGTACAAAATCTTCAAGTGTAGACTTAGCTCTTGTCATCGCATCAAAACCAACCATCGGCACAGCCTGAATGGTTGATTTCTCGGCATGCATCTTAAACTTCTTAATTGGCTGGAGTAAACCTCCAGAAGATATATCTTGATTAGCTGTGGTTGAAAGAGTCCTATGTCTTATCAGAGTTCCAGACCCAATCAACAAGAAAATTTCCAGATAAACTCATAAGGTCAAGGTAAGATCATCATTACTTCGCAACTACTACCACTACCTTCCAGATGGGTGAGATGCTGCACTTCTTCCAAAGTATCAGGAGTAGCCTAACAAAGAAAGGTCTCCACTATGATTTCTTCATAGAAAACACATGGATAAAGATGAACAAGAAGTTGAACGGTGTCAATACAATTACCTTTGTTAATAGCTCAGAGACCAAAAGGAACTTATTCTCCACGGTAAGAGAATCAAACGGTTGCACCTGCACAAAAGATTTTCTGATCATAATTTTGAAAGAAGTTCTAGATGCACCTGGTGTCCCATTTTGATGTGTCAGCAGGAGATACCAAATTCAGAGGAGCAATGAAAACAATAAAGCAAACTAGTGTGATGAATCTGATCATCAAAGCAAGGTGATGAAGTAACTCCGTTGCATCATTGAAGTTAAATAGTAATTCAAAAATCTTAGCTAACAATAAGCCACAGCAAAATTCAATAAATTATGCAAAGCACCTACACTGCTGTCTGCTCGTGACCAATGTGGCAAATCAGTCTGATCCAGTCTCCAGTTGCTGCCAATTTATGAATCTCGACGGACCATACTTGCACTAGTGGTGTAATCTCCTTCGACCTAGGCACCTAGCTAACTGGACTAAAACTCGAGAACACGAACACAGCTGCACAAGTACACATGTTGCTTGTCATTGCCAACAAAACGTCAGACCTGGCGAGAGCAGTGAGCACATGTCACCAATCAACGGCAGGTCAATACAACATTCAACATGTCATCAAATCGATCGGAGGTCACACTGCAACGAGCTCCGCGTGCGCAAATACACAACCGAAACCGTCCTCATCGAATAAACCCATCAAAATGCAAAACGAACAGCACATACGCGCTTAAACCCGTGGCGTAACCAAAAGCCTCCGCGAGGGACGAAGGCAGAGAGGGGCGGCGGAGGCCCCCCTATGCTATCCTAGACACACTCCATACCATATCAAATCGAAGGAAAATTGAAGTTTAGCCGCCTAGTTATTCATCTATTTTGCCCTTTCGCCCCTGCGCGAGGCCACCGGCGCACTCGTAAGGATCACGCTCCAACACATCCGAGTCGATTGAATTCGTAGAGACGGAGGAAGAGGGGCGACCCCAAAAACTGTACCATGAAGAGGAGGAATTGGGCGAGGAAGCGGTCGGCGTCAGCGCCGCCGCCGCCGCTGGAGTCGGTGTGGGAGAGGCCGCGTGACCTCATGAGGGAGAGCACCCTCTGCGCCTTCTCGAGCTCCAGCAGCGCCTCCATTGCTGCTCCTCCTCGCCCTCCCCGCCCCGGCTCGCCTCTGCTCCGCTCCTTGCAGTCTCGCGCTCGGTTTGGTTCGGTTCCGCTTCGAGTTTCTTCAGGTTTTGTGCGAGACTAGCAAACAGAGAATTCGTTCGCCTAGAAATGGAGGAGAGGGGAAATAAAAGGGAAATGGGGCTGAGGTTGATTTTGGGCCTCCAGTTGGGAAATGCAGCGTTGGGCTCCAATTTCCAAAATCCTGAGGCCTTTAACTCTCCTCATTTTCTCGAGTTAGGCTTGGGCTAAACGGGCGGTCATGAAGGAGCAAAAAGCCAGCAATCCTTTTTCATTCCCCTAAAAAAAAGCAATCCTTTTTCATATTTTCGGCTTTTTTGGGGCTTTTTCGGCTTAATAACGAGCACTCTACGTACTACGTGCCGTTACCAATATGAAATCCACCTTCGAACGGAAGTTCGAATTGTACTTAGCTCGAAACATGCAAGTAGCTCCCAATTGTAATGAGTAACAACATTGTAGTATCAGTCCGGGGACACACGTGCAAAATTGGAGCGTGTAGAGTTTCTGAAGACACGTTGGCAACACATTATAACGATGAATTCCATTTGGGGATTGTTAGCGCTCGGACGTCTGGACGGGATCTACTTTTGCAACATTCAGACGAAATAATTGCAACACACGTCTGAAACAATTGAAACACTTGCAACATACATCTAAAACACTTGCAAAACACCTGAAAACACTTGAAAAGCCATTGCAAACGCTGCAATATCTAGATCTACTTTTGCAACATTCAGATAAACCACTTGCAACATACGTATGAAACACCAGAAACACTTACGACTGTTGCTCGGAGGCCGTGTCGTAATTATTCACTTAAAACATAATCATTGCAAATTTCATGCGTTTCGAGCAAGAACATCTTGTTAAACATAGATTGCAACATGCATGCTCAGCAACATCTAGATATACTAGATATACTTCTACAATATCTAGATAAAAACACTTGAAACATACGTCTGAAACACCTAAAACACTTTAGCCATTGCAACATACGCAACATCCAGATAAAATATTTGAAAGCATGCTTCTAAAACACTAGAAGCACGACATCGCCGGTGGGCATGGCCTACCTGGTAGTACGCCAGTGCCAGCACCTCGTTTCCGTGCCCACGCAGGGGCTAGCCCCACCTGGACCGCATGCGCTGCCCGCCCCAACCTACAGCACGCGGAGATCGCTCACGCCTCCTCTGCTTCCCACGAGCAACCGTCTGCGCCCGCTCGGCGGCGCACAAGCAGCTGCCGTAGACGGCTGCGGCAGGTGGTCCCATTGCAACATGTGCAATACCAGATCTACTTTTGCAACATTCAGACGAAATAATTGCAACACACGTCTGAAACAATTGAAACACTTGCAACATACATCTAAAACACTTGCAAAACACCTGAAAAACACTTGAAAAGCCATTGCAAACGCTGCAATATCTAGATCTACTTTTGCAACATTCAGATAAACCACTTGCAACATACGTATGAAACACCAGAAACACTTAAAACATACGATTGCAACATGCATGCTCAACAACATCTAGATATACTTCTACACTATCTAGATGAAAATACTTGAAACATACGTCTCAAACACCTGAAACACTTTAGCCATTGCAACATACGCAACATCCAGATAAAATATTTGAAAGCATGCTTCTAAAACACTAGAAGCACGACATCGTCGGTGGGCATGACCTACCTGGTAGGGAACTGCAGTAGCCAACAAGCGGTGCTCGAGTGCAGTGGAGAGGGAGGATGGCGGCATGCTGGCGGCTGGGCGCGGTGACGAACGCCGCGTCGAGCAGTCATAGTGGACCACGCCACGTCGACGCGGAGAACTCGGCGACGAGTGGTGAGTGACGCTGGGGAGATAGGAAGGCAGGTGGTGGCGCTCAGGCGTGGTGCAGCGTGCCGTCGCGTTGCGACCGCGACCACAGTCGCGATGGAGCGCGCTGCGGTGGCGCGGGCACAGTGGCGATTCAAGGGTAGGTTCGAGAATGGATGCGGACGTAGTGACGATTCGAGAGGAAAGTGAGAGCGGAGATATTTTTTGAGCAACGGGGAGATGGGTGCGTCCATGTGGATGGCAGTGTTGGGCCGTTCAGGCAGGCGTCGAGGCCCACCAACGCAAGCGTCCGGACGAAACGGATGCCCTATCCGCAGCATTTCCGATTCCATTTTCATGTTCTAATGTCTAATCCAAACTGACGCAATGTGTGTGAGAGGCACCTACTTCAGACGTCCAACGGCCGACGCCCGGTTCGGGAAACGAAGTCCAGCGCCCGAAGGAGCACATGCCTCATTGCCCCGTGCATGATTCCGATTCCGACTTCCGAGCCCAACCTGCCTATTCCTACACCCTACAGGGCGGTGGTGAGGCTGCAGCATCGGTGATGTGCCCTCTCATTTTTTGCAGGGCAAATGCGTTCTTGAAATCTTGCGTTCTTGGGAAGGACCGCCACTCATGAGCATCGCCGCATGCGCGTCCCAAACTGGGGATCCCAGCATGGGATTCAGAGTCGCAGATCCGGACTTGCCGGCCCAGAAAGCAACAGCTGACAGGAGCAACGGTGACGACCTGACTGCTAGACTTCAGGGTGTGTTTAGCTTGGGAGGTGAAAATATTTGGGTGTCACATTAGATGTGTCGGAAGGATGTTGGGAGGGGTTTTTGGATACTAATAAAAAAATAAATTACAGAACCCATCAGGAAACTGCGAGACGAATCTAATGATACTAATTAATCTGGCATTAGCACATGTAGGTTACTGTAGCACTTACGGCTTTTCATGAACTAATTAGGCTTAAAAGATTCGTCTCGCGATTTTGCCGAGAACTGTGCAATTAGTTTTTTTTCGTCTACATTTAGTACTCCATGCATATGTCCAAACATGCTCTTTTACTGTAGGAGGCAAAAAAAAATTTGGAAACTAAACAAGGCCTCAGTCTACATATACTGCTTTCCCGTCGATCAGTCTGTTCGCTTGTTGGTTTCAGCCAGCGCTTATCAGCCATGATATAGTGTTTTTCTCTCACGACAAACCAGCACCAGTTGGGTTTATCAGCTCAGAAACCAACCAGTGAACTGGCTGAATGTTCTCGTCCTCGCCTGGTATTTGTTGCTTTCTCAGAGAAGGAAATTTGTGATGATGCTCACTGCTGGCCTTCCCGCCAATGTGTGGCATATACTACCAGTTCCAGGACGGCATCGATTGGATTGGAGGTTGGAGACTGGGAGGAAGTGCAATAGGAGGGCAGCGGCAGCGGGACTGACAAAATGTTTTACCAACTTATTAATAGAGTCACGTTAGATTGGCAATTAAATATGCCGTGTCTAAGGGCCCGTTTGGATTAGCTAGATCTAAATTTTAGCCAGCTAAAGGTAGAGCTAGTTTTAGCTCAAAATAGTTGGGGTTTCTCAGCTAATTGGCTAGTCACTAGTTTGAGGCTTGGCTAAAAATTAGTCCATTAATTAGCTTCCTGTTTGGGTGGGCTAGAGCTAATTTGGGCTATTTTTTTGGCCTTGTTTAGATGCAAAATTTTTTGCAAAATGAGCACTGTAGCGTTTTCGTTGTTATTTGGTAATTAGTGTCCAATCATAGTCTAATTAGGCTTAAAAGATTCGTCTCGTGGATTTCGTCTAAACTGTGTAATTAGTTTTATTTTTTATTTATATTTAATGCTTCATGCATGCGTCTAAAGATTCGATGTGACGGGGAATGTGAAAAATTTTGCAAAATTTTTGGGGAACTAAACTGGGCCTTAGCTGGGTAGAGATTAGCCCTGGATCCAAAAGGAGTTTAAGATTAGGTAGCCATAATTTTAATAGTACACGCAGTATGGGATACTTGACACAGCTCTTTCTCTGACTTCTTAGCCACCTGACATCCTGATCCATAATAAAGCATAGACTCTGTTTTCTTATCTAGTCTTATATCTTTTTTTGCCACAAGAATTAAGTGTATGTGTGTTTGGTAGAGATTCAGGTTAAACTTTTCGAATTTAGTTTCTTCCTAGCTAGAAATGTTTCTTCCGGTGAATCATAATCGCTTTCTCAAATCGTTTGGCTAGATCCCTGGATTCTCATTCTTTGACGGAAATCATTGTTTTACATGAAAAAAATCATAAATATAGATGAGTTTTACAAAAAAAAAATGGTATTTTTGTGGGTGAAGAACAATTCAAAAGCAATCAATTTAATTGGTTTCACTTAAAGAAAATCAATAGAAAATATTTCTAGATTAGAGGGAAGGTAGGAAAGCTACCCTAGATTTGATTTTGATCTCTACAAAAAGGGAGAATCACTATAAGTGTTTTTACCTAAAATCAATATTGTCTTTAACCGCTTGATGAGGTTTCTAGTGATTATGAAGAGAAGCATAGTTCTTTGTCACATCCAAACGGCCTACCTACCTTAGTCAAAGATTTGTCGCAAACATATTAGGGCTTGTGTGACCCATGCTGTCGAATTGTTTTGCTTCGGCAATATCCAGTAACGTGATCGCGTAGACGGAATCGGATGGTAGCACACGAGACTGCTCTTGTATTTGTATGCTCAATTACAGGGGTTGTTGCTCCAGGCTACGAGGTAGATGGAAAAGGTGGAAGATTGGATCCCATGCCTGAGGTTCCTACCCTCCTTTATATAGGCTGGAGAGGTAGGGTTACGGAGAGGGCGATCGGGCTAATAGACTGTTTCCTAATTTGTTAGGACAGATTGATCCTCGCTATCGTCTAGATACGTCCGTCTTGGTTTGCCTTGATCTCCACGTTGGTTGATCGCGTCAGCCCTTGCGGCCTCCTCCTTGACGGCTGATGGGCTGATAGCTTGGTGGTAGTCATATATATATGCGGTGCAGGTACCCCTGGCCCATATCTCTGACACATGCCCTATAACGGAACTAAGGATTCTTAGTCTTCAAAAAGAGTATAGACGATTGCACATAAGTAACTAAG